TGCCCACAGAGCTATAAATACATTGCCAGCGATTCTTGGCAGGAAACCTGAGTCCATTTCACCTCTATTGCACAGACTTTCCTATTTTCTGCCCCAATCTGGCTTTTCCCAGAGTCCCATGGGTTTCTCCCCGATAAGACTCTCTTGTGATTGGTGTCCCCACTTCACCCCATTTTCCAGACACTGGCCTCATCGCCAGCCGTGGCTAGGAATCCTTCACAACATGGAAAAAGCAGGGCCATGCCCCAAACCGAAACAGAGTAAATATTCACAGATTCAAATAAAATCTCCTTCATCGTATTGACCTTAACACAGAGGGAAAGCAAGAGAAGAGAGCTGGATGAGAGTAGAACTTTTTGATGCACTCTTAACTTAATGTGATATAGTTACTCATCACCTGCATGTAAGTGCCGACTTGATGATGTCCTGACTCACTCCCTTGCTGGCAAATCTCCCAGGATGGTTGGGAGATGCTTACTTCTGTCCTGCACTCATGCACGGGTAAGAGTATTTAAAAAAATATATGAGCAAGTCAGTCTTGAGCATCCTTCCGGGCTCAATGTTTCTATGCTTCTTACAACGAATGAGACTGAATGTACAATGTATCTTTGTGTCATTGTGATTCTTTCTGTCGGGAGCACAGAACTGCTAGTTCTCCACCCAAATGCTTCCTGTGAAGTTCTCCGGAGAAACATCAAGACTCCTTTCTTGTGCCCTGAGAAGCCGTTTGAAAACCTCAGAATGGTTGGCCTCAGAGGTGTTTAATTTTGGGTGCAAGTCTTCGGTCTTGAACTCAGGTCCTGGGCATTATTCTTGAGGTTTTTGTTTTTGTTTTGTTTTGCTCCAGGTTAAGGCTCTACCACCTGAACTACAGGGCCACTTCTAACTTTTTCCAAGTTGATGGGACATAAAGAGTTTTTCACAGGCTTTTCTGCCCGGGCTAACTTTGAACCATAATCCTCTCATCTCAGTTTCCTAAGTAGTTAGGATTACAGGCGTGAGCCACCGACGCCCGACTCCCAGAAGTCATTTTAATTAAGACACCCACCAACTTTAACCTTTGAGTTAATTTTTCCCAACTTGGGAGGCTGGGAATGTGTGTTCTCAGGGACTTTGTCATAAGAGAGAGCTTGGCTTGACTTCCTGGGCCTAAAAGAAAAATGGTAGACTCTGTTTGTTACCTGTGTGGTTTGAAGCATTTTATTTAACACCTCCAATCTCTATTATTTACAAAATAGGGGAGAGGGAGGACCCTGCTTTAGTGTCATTTCCTTTATTGGATTGTTGCAAACAGCGGACAAGTTAAGGGCTGCTTTATTTGGGTTCCCCCAAAGTGACTTTGGACTCGAGTGGAAATGGTTCTTTGGGAAGGTGATGTCACAAAGCGGGGTGGAAGAGAGGGGGGATGTGAAGAGGAAAGAAAAGCCAGGAAGGACCACGCATGGACCAGTTACCATGGTGGACAATCTGAGCTGGAAATCACCAGGAGGCCCCTGGAGGTAGTCCCTGGAAAGAGCTTCAGGATCATGACAGCAGAGGGCCGCAGAGCAGAGGTCTGCAGGCTCAGGTCCTCTGTCGGCCCGGGGTGGGGTTTGGCTCTAGTTCACTGGCTGCCTATTGAGAATTACCGTGGAACACGCGGTAGCCTTCCCAATGGGGAATTCTCCTGTGAGAGCCTAGACATTGGTGATGTAGTTCTATGTGCCTTTCTGTTTGCTAACTTTGAGAATGTTAACTTCGTGAATGCTGTCTGGTTGTATGTTTAGAATCAGCACGCCATAAAGCATGCACATGGTCAGCCAGAACCAAAAAAAATGAGAAAAAGCAAAAAGAAAAAGGCTGTTGACAAACACATCAGTTACTACAAAGCAAAACAAATACACAAGCCTAACCTTGGGATCCGAGAGAAATCAGAGCCCTTGAAGCGTTTTGAGTGAGCCAGGGATGGTAATTCTAAACGCTCAGCATTTTGCCATCATCTGAAGTATGAGCCGGCTCGTGTGGTCAGCAGGAGGGTGGAGTCTGCAGGTGTAGCGCATACCTGTAATCCCAGCACTCAGAGAATCAAGGTAGGAGGATGGTGAGTTCTTCAGCCTGGGCTACCTAGTGGGTTCCAGGTAAGACCCTGAAACTTAAGAAACAGAACAAAGCAATGAGTATGGATTCTGGGGTCCCAGGCTTGGCTCGAATTAAGTGCTGGCTCTGTCACTAACCAACTTTGTGACTCGATCAAGACTGTTTTCAGTCTTGCCACCTGTGTCCGCTTCCTCTTAGCACTGCTGGGATGGTGGTAAGGAAGTCCCACATACAGCTCTCTGAGCAGCACACTGTCAGTGCAATAGAAATGTTTACTGCTGTGCTATTATTGACACCAATACTATTACCATCATCATGATAAGCATGTGGTTTTAGTGTGTGTGTGTGTGTGTGTGTGTGTGTGTGTGGATGTAGGTGTACAGACACTGGGGGCTTGAAGTCAGGGCTTCACACTCTTGCTCAGTTTTCTTGCGTATAGCTGGCGCTGTGCTACTTGAACCATGCCTCCAGTGTAAGCATTTTTCTGCTTAATTGGAGGTTAAGTTGGGCTGCCTTTGAACCTCCATTTCCCATTCAGGTCTCAGCCTCTTGAGTAGTTAGGATTACAGGCATCAACGAGCAGTGGCTGGCTCGTGTTGTTCTTTTGAGACAAGGTCTTACTATGCGACCCAAGCTATCCTTGAATTCACAAGCCTCTTGCCTGTTAGCTTGAGGGAATCTGATTTGACTTTTGAGCCAGGTTTTGCTGTGTCGGGTTCAACACTGGTGTTGAACTTGCCGTAGTAGCCTCGCCTGGCTTTGAACTCCTGCTGCTTCAGTCCCCCAAGTGCTAGAATTACAAGGGTATGCCACTGTGCCTGGCTGATATTTTTAATATGTATCGTGTACCAACGATGTTTGGATGCACTGTGGAATGGTTCCATTGAGTTAATTCACACAGTCACCGGCTTGCATACTCACCCAACTACACGTCTTCTTAAAGCCTTGTCTCATCACCCTGGTTACCTCTCTCTCCATGGGGTCTTTAGGTGCCATTTAAGGCCGTCTTATCTTTTTTTTTTTTTTTGATTAACCCATTCCTTGTTTCATATCGTGGCGATGTGCGTGAAGTAAATTCTGCCAGAGGAAATGATGCTATGCTGAATACTTTATTTATATATATATTTTTATGTAAACATAATTTTTGCTTTGTAGGCACAATATAACAAAAGCTCTGAAGCCACAAACACATTAGACGAGCTTTCAGTCCGACACCAAGAAAGCGAAACCCACAGAAAAGAGCCTGCAGTTCCTTTAAGGCAAACTGAGACTTTCCTTACACTTCCTTCAGCAGACAAGCAGGAGATAGGACAGAAGGAGGGAAGATGAGAAGGGGGAGGGGCGGCCCCCCTTGACCCCTCCCCCACCTTCAAGGCAGAAACTACAGGCGGTGGTCATGCTCTAGTTTCCTTCCCCTGAATTTGGAGGACAGGAGAGGGTTAGCATTTAGCCAGTGGTTGTAACAGCTGAATACTGGGTTAACTCTGCTGATTGAAAATGAAAGACCAGATGTGTGGCCATGGTACTACAAAGTGTGTCCCTTCCTCCCTCTGGCCCCAGGGCCCCGGCCGCTCTTGAACTTGAGGAAATAGTGTTGATACTCTGCTCACCAGAAATAGCATTAGGACAGTGGCTCTTTGGGCCTCTCTTCAGGGAGAATGTTGACCAATAATACAATATATAACAAAGGTGTTAGGGGAAAAGTATACTCTCTTATCTCTCTAGGTGACCCAGAAATGGAATGTTAGTGTGTCCCCGGATGGAAGAGAAGAATGGTGGGTGTCCTCTTTGGATAATACGCTCCTCTCCTTGGCTCACTGGCTGGCTCCATCTTTCTCCACATTCATATTGTATGCGTACATTCACAGTAAGGAGAAACTCCCTTCAGATACATATTTGGCATAAACAAGTCATGGCGACAAGGAAAGAAACAAAACCACAAGGACCCAAGGACTGTGCCCATGGAAGAGGTTCTTGCTGGAAATGCCTTCATTCCCATCTCTTGGGGGAAGAGCCAGGTCTGCCCCTAAAGCCTGGTAGTGGAGAGGCCGGGCAATGTAGGAACTTTCTCCTGTCTTCTAAAATGCAAAGGAAGAGTGTGTGTGTGTGTGTGTGCTAATCACATGATGTGGGAACACTTTTCGGTCTTCCACAGAACCCAATAATAGGGTGCTGATTGTATGGATCCCTTGTATTTCTGGGCTGATTTTCAAGGGAGGGAATGAACCCTCGGCCACGAGGCTTGAGGGGCCTCCGTGTAGGGACACTGAGATGGCTCCTCCCACAGGGTAGCTCAATTCTCCTCCCAAGCCCAGTCACATGGAAGTTTGGGGAGTTTTCTAGAAAAACTGAACAGGGTACAGGCCCAAGCAGTTTTGGTCCCTGATTTCCAAGAGCCTGCCAAATCCAGCACCATGGCTGTGCACACAACACAGGCTGGGGGACCGCCTACTTGGCCTTGGATACCCGCCAGTCGCTTCCTGCAGCTTTGCATTTGTGAGACGTGGGGTCATGTTTTGGCAATATGAAAGATACTGAGATTTTTCTCCCCAAGTGTAGTCCACAAGGGAGTTCTTTCAAAGTGCTTTCTTTCTTTCCTTCCTATCTTTTTCTTTCTTTTCTTTCCTTTCTCTTTCTATTTTCTCTCTTTCTTTCTTTCTTTCCTTCCTTCCTTTCCCTTCCCCTCCCTTCCTCCCTTCCTTTCCTTTCTCTCTCGCTCTCTCTTTTGTGACAGTCCTGGGCCTTGAACTCAGGGCCTAGGTGCTATCCCTGACCTTTTTTTTTTTACTCAAGGCTAGAGCTCTATCATTTGAGCCACCACACCACTTCTGGCTTCTTTTTGGTGTTTAATTGGAGATTAGTCTCACAGACTTTCCTCCCCAGATTGGTGTCAAACCACAATCCTCAGATCTCAGCCTCCTGAGTAGTTAGGATTATAGGCGTGAACCACTGGCACCTGGCTTTCCAAGGGGTTTCTTGGCCACAAATGGAATAGAAAAACAGCTGGCCATGTTGCTGGCCAGTATGCAAACACAGGTGAGTTTCAGTAATGACTGGGAGTTAGTCCTAGCTGTGGTGAGATTTTTTTTTTAGGCTAAAACAAAATGCATATGGCTGGGGGGGGGGGGGATTTTGCTCAGGAGACCTAGCTTCGTAGGAGGAATCAATGGCTGCCTTCCCACGTAGGCTGTTGTGACCCATCTTCCATCCTAAAAAAAATCCCACGCCTGTTCCATGTGTCTGTGAATAAAAACCAGGAAAAGAACCCAAGACTGAAGGGCTAGTGAAGGGAGGCTCAAGTCTATGGCCTTAAGACAGTGGATGAATGTAAGAACATTGCCTCTGAGAGAGAGAGAGAGAGAGATACTATGGGGATGTTTCCACACCCTAGGCATACCCTTTGGGCCTACTGTCTTGCTGCCAGAGGCTTGGCTGGCTGGTGGCTTACAGTGTCACCGGCCTGAAGAATATCAGGACCTGGATGACACACTGGGACCACACCTGGCCTCCTCCAGGCCTGGTCTTCCAGGCCTGTGGGGCTGTGGGGCTTGTGTTCATTTGCAAGGCTATTCTCAAACGTTCAAGAAGGACTCATAGATGGGTAGGTTTGATACAGGGCAGAAGGGAAGAGCGTGTGATACACAGACGAAAGAGACATAATACTGCATGAAATGGGACTGGCACTTAATCCCCCCCCCCCCAAAAAAAAAGAAAAGAAAACAGAACAAAATACCACAACAGTGATCACTAAGTTCTTAGCTCGGCTGACTGCAGACAAACACGACACGCACTGGACTACAGCATTTGTTCACTGGGGCACGGAAGAGTTCTCGTAGCCATTCCTCATCCTTCATTGTTGTCCCGCGGGGGCCTGGCTCACTGGATGAAGGGCATCCGCTCTTTGTTTTCCCCGTCCCCTTCGTGGTCCTCCTCTTCCTCCCCTGCCTCGCTGGTCTCCGTGCTGTCGTTGGCCATCTGGAATTGAACAGAGGACGATATGGGAGGCTCATCTTCAATCATCTGATCCAGCTGGGCCCCTGCGTTTCCTGAGAGCGGGCAGTCCCGTAGGAGACAGAGGCTGTCACAAACGGCCATCCAGGCAACGTTGCTCCAAACCTACTGAGCTGGTGGGAGACCCATGCCAGCAAAGCTTTGAGCTTCTGCTGTGTCCAATCAGATGCAAGCTCTAAAATTGACCTCACTGGATCTGTGCCTGATGCTCGACAGTTAGCCTGTTTTTCTGAGCTTCCCTGTCTAGTCTAATGGGCCATCTAGAAGGGCCTCAGCTTCCTCCTCAAGGCATAGAGACCCCAAATCCTCATCCTCCATCCTCTTTTGTTCCCCCTGGATCCCAAGGGTGGAAACCTTCCCCACAGACTCAGAAACAGATCTTGACAGAGGTCCTGAGCTCTCTGGACTTTTCAGCCTCTAAGGACCGATTCATGATCAGGCAAATTTCCAGCCATTTTGCTTAAGAATAATAAGTTGTCCAGAATGTCTCTACAGCCTGTCTGCCTTCTCTCAATGGGGCTGAATGAGACCTGAGCAGAAGGCTCATGGAATAGGGGCCCAGGACAGCAGAGACCTCAGCTCCATTTTCTTCCCTAACTTCATCCCCTCACCGGCCTTCAAACATGTCCTAGTGCCTCCAGAACATTTTATAACCTGTATCCGTTATTCCCACTCACCTGCCCAAGCATGCCATTGTCCTTCATTGAGTGAAATGGTTCTCAGACCTGAGCTCCATTGAGGTTATAAAAGCTAATGAAATATTTTTAAAAAATATACACCTGGTCTAAAACATTTATACAGTTTTAGTTCTTCCTCTTGGAAGATGGATGCAGCTCTATGACTTGCATGCTAAACACACACACACACACACACACACACACACACACACACACACACACACACACACACACACACACACACACACACACACACACACACACACACACACACACACACACACACACACACACACACACACACACACACCCCAAAACTTTTTTTTCCCCTCTCAGTATGAAGGGGTTTGAATTCAGGGCCTCACACTTGCTGAACCACACCTCCAGCCCTGTTTTTCACTGAGTAATTTTAGGAGAGGGAGCATTCAGGAAGCTGGCACGCACAAGCATGCATTTCTGAGAACTTACGAGGAATTCTCCTGTTGGCAACTGCCTAGATTTGTCATGTCCCACTATCTTCTCCTGTCTGCTCACCTATTGCATTCACCTTTCCTTCAGAGCCTCCAAGGATCAGTCCCTCATTTCTGGAATTATCTAACTACCCCCAGTGTCCTTCAAAAGCCCAGTAGCTAACTGCCCGTACTTCATTCTCCCCTAGCTGTGTTGTGTCCACATCTGACAGACCTTCCATGAATGAATTAGCTGAGTGGTCTCCTCTTGAATCTACACCTACCAGTGGAGTCGGGGTCTTTTCCACATCCAGAATTAACTTCCCAATATTTCCTCGGTCATGGATCCGTTGCATGGCTTCCTTCACCTGTGACACAGGGCCAGGAAGAAACTCAGATCAGGGAGAGACATCACTCAGGACAAAAAGGGGCCTTGGAAAACTCCAGCACCTTACTTTTCCACCAGAGGGCGCTGCAGCTCAAGCCTTGTGGCTAGGAAGTTTTGAGTGTTGTGTGCAAATAAATTCTGTCATTCACACGCTCTGCTTTTGTGCAAGTCTCCTGTGTGTAAAGATGAAGGTTATAGCTTTTGCAACACTTCATGAAAATTTCTTTAGGAAAAGAGAGGGGAAAAAAAAGGCAAGAAGATTATCCAGAGATTACACGCCACAGGATGTCAGGGTACGTCCATCAGGCTAAATTTTAGGCAATGAAAGTATTTTTGATGGCTATTTGGAACACAATTACTTAAATGTTATATATCTCAGATTCAGATTTTAGCTTAAATAAACCCATTACCCAGGGCTGACCCCCATTTAGAAAAATCCCCATGGTTCTTACTTACTGGGAAGAAACTCTGTCCCCACCTTGCAGAAGTTCTCTTCAGAATGGAAGGTGATTATTGTTTTTTCTCTACCACTTCCTATGTGACACTAGGGGCTTCTTAGACCAGGCATGTCTCCTGCAATGCATGACACAACCCAATGGCGTCTAGGCATGGTGTTCTGTTGCTAAGTAGAAAATGAGCTGCAGGGGGCACTGTGGGAACTAACAGAGAGAAGCTGGTGGGTGTGATCTCCACATCGTGGTAAAATCTAGATAGGATGCAGTGTACCTTTATTTATTTATTTTTATCATAATACGTCTAACTTATATTATTTTTTCTTACAGTCTCACATTTGAAAATATTTTTCTTCATTTATTCACTCCAGAGATATCCAGTAAATGTCACTGCTAGGCTCGATGCCATGATTTAAAATAATAAATAAGACACAAGCCCTGTCTTTGAAGAGCTCAGCCTGTGGCCATGGAGCTGCATTTGCTTATATGAAAACCAAAGGCTTCTTTCTACTCATTTCAATATAAACTTGACAGAGCCATTAAAATGCTTTGTATTTCAATTGCTTTTCTGGGACTTCATTATAAAGACCTAATTTAATTTATGGGCAAGAAAAGAAGGCCGCATAAAAGGTACTCAATCACAGCCTTGTTTTTTTCATGGCAAAACATTGAAACAATTCATATGTCACGGCATGAGTGGATGGTTAAGTAAACAGTGGCTCTTACGTTTATCATGGAACGGAAATGTGATGTGTCTCTTGAACAATGGAAAGATCTATGCTGCTAACTGTAAACAAACATGGAAGGATTAAGGGAGAAAAACCACACATTACATCTCCCTTAAAAAACTACAGATTTTCTTTTAGACCTAGAGAATGATAACTTTTAAATCAGGTGTCCAAATATTGATATTTGGTCATGTGGAACCAAATCAATCTTGACTATGCATGAAAAGCATCTTTAAATGCATTTTCTTCTGGGTGTTTAGTTTGTTTGTTCTGTCTTTTTGTTTTTATTTCAGAGGCAAGGTCACACCGTGTAGTCTGTGAACCGCAATCCTCCTGCTTTCTACTCTGGGGAGCTAGAAGAGGCAGCATTGCTTTTTGAAGCGTTTCCTTACTTGCTTCCACCTCGATCTCTGAGTATCTGTGGGGACTGGCTCCAGAGCTGTGTCTGGAGGCTCCCTGTTCTAAAGTGGTGCAATGTGTATTTTGCATGTCACCTGTACATATTTGCCTTTCAATTTTGTCATCTCTGTCTTGCTCCTGGTGCCTAATGCAGTATGATGCTATGCTATTCAATGGTATAGGGAATAATGACAAGAAACAAAAAGCCTGTCCATGTTCAGGATTTTGTTCCTGAGCATGTTTTCTTTTTGCTGAGGTTGCTTCATTCCTCAGGTGTGGGACCTGAGATGAACAGGGCTGAGTGGGCATCACTCACAAACTTCTAGCTTGGCTTCCAGTGCCCCTCCCCCTCCCCACTTCCTGGGACATAGGCTAGTGTGGGAACTTCTCTCATTAAGCATAGGCTGGACCTAAAGATTTATGTCTAACCCACAGAACACAGCAAAAGAAATGGGGTCTTTCTTCTCAGGTTTACAGGTTCCCAAGCTTACAAAACAGAGACCCTGACTTCCATCTTGCAGCTGCTCTTCCTCTGACTCTTTTCATTTTCTCCCTGTGGTGAGACACACAGCCTTCTTGTGAGCTGCCCCGTGGAGAGGTCCACACGGTAAGGAGCCAAGGGAAGACTCCGGCCAGCCCACAGCCTGGAGAAGCAACAACCGGAGCATGTGTATAACCAGACCCATCTCCAGCCAGGCCTTCAGAGGAGGCCAAGCCACTATTATTATTTTTTTTAATTTAATTTTATTTTATTTGTGAACATACTGTACAGAGGGGTACAATTACATGGGCAGGATAATGCATACATTTCTTACCGAGCATTGCAGCCTCCTCCTTTGTTTACCCTTCACCTCCCTTCCCAGCCTCCCCTCTCCCCCCCCCACTATTATTTTTTTTGGGGGGGGGGAGTGGATTCAGTAATGGAAATTTAACCAAGTTTTCAACCTTACACACCAATACTTCTCATCTTGTAAGATATACATGAATATCTAATTTAGACAAGTACCTGGATGCTGAGGGGAAAAAAATAAAAGCAAATTTGCCGAAGATGACGTGGTCACTGGTAATCGAACTGTGGTTCAGAACCAGGCTGGTTAGACCTCCAACACAACATCCCTCTATCATTCCTGCCCAGTCTGAAATTTCCAGTGAACCTCTAAAAGCAGAAGAAAGGGCGTAGATAATATCCCACATGATGATTTTTCCAGGATTTAGTTGTTTGTCACTCTGGAAAGTCATTAAGCACTTGGAAACTCCACGGAAGATGAACAATACTTTTAAAGCTGTTTCTCAAATAAGACAGAGCTCAGGAACATGGAAAAGCTGTTTTGTCGTTAAAAGCTTATTGCGATGCTAGGGAAAAAATAAAAAGGTCCCAAACAGGGCAGGGCTGGTCCCGCAACAGGACATTAGTTAGTCATTGCTTTCTGAAATTAACTGACTCCTTGAAATTTCCCACGTGAAAAAGATGGAGAAAAGGTTAGGAGGCCTGCTATGGGATCGTTTGTCTGACCTTTACTCAGGCTGTTAGAATGTGCATTCTCGCTTTTAAGCTTGCTCTTGTAGAGATGGCAACTCCGAAGGAAAGAAACTACCAAATCCGATCCATGTTTCGTTGTTGTTTTTCTTAATCAGGCGTCCTGGGCAGCAGTTTATGGCCATTGCTATTTTATCTGTGCACAGAGCCTCTCAGGTGAATGTCAGCATCAGTTTTTCACAGATGAGAATCACAAAGACAAAACATCTCAGGACTGCTCTGGCTGGTGTTCAAAAGATGCCTTAGTAGTAGGAAATGCAAGGGTTGCCTTGCTTTCTCAGGAGTCTAGACACAATTCCAGAACAGCTTCCACTAGCCACACCAACTACTCTTTGCTTATACCCTGGCAAGGTAAAAATCTGCAGAGACGTTGCTTCTATTACCACCCAGGGATAGAAGTGATGGCCTAGAGCACACTGGTACCAGGGAGGCCTCCTCCCTGTAGCTTTTTGTGAAGCACCTCTCTGCTTAAAACCAAGTGTCCTTGTATCCAAGAGAAGCATCTGGTCCACCTGCACTGTTAAAACTATGTGTCACTGCATCCAAGAGAAACATCTGGTCTACCTGCCTTGCCAGATACAGCAGCTGCTAGTCACCTGTGATCTGAAGTATGGTGGCTATAAATACCAACGCTCTGTCAGCACTGAAGACAATGCCAGATGCAATATCATGGTGGGTACTTGTGTCTGAACTCTGGGCTTTGCCCTTGGCTGGACAGGTACTCTGCTGCTTGAGCTAGAGTTTCAGCCTTGATAGTCATAATACAGAATGCAAGCTTAGCTTGGTAAGACTTGGGGAGCAATGATGAATTGTGGAAAGGATGTTATACTTAATTTACTTAATTCCTCAGGTGTTTTTTTAATGTGGTTACCGATTCAAAACTTGGAACACGGCTGTGTCATGGACGGTGTGGGGTGGACATGTCAAGGCTGATATCTGTGGGTTTTGTGGGTTTCCTTCTCCCCTCATCTCTGACTGTCCCCACTGCTCAAGATGTGTGTCTGAAGCTCACTGGACCTTTACCTGTACCCAAGGGCTCATCCTAGTGGAAAGCATTCCACAATGTAAAAGAGAAATGTCCGGAAGGGAGTGAACAGGCTTGGGATGAAGAACACATACTGACAGACTGCAGAGCTCCTGTCTCCTATAATTTGTTTGTTTGCTTATTTATGTATTGTGCCAGTAGTGGGATTTTAGCTCAGGGCCCAAATACTATCCCTTAGTATTTTCACTCAAAGCTGGTGTTCTACCACTTGAGCCACACCCTTACTTCTTAGCTTTTGGGTGGGTATTAGATCTATGAGTCTCACGGACTTTCCTCCTTGGGGCTTGCTTTCAACTGTGCCTCTCAGATCTCAGCTTCCTGCATCGCTAGGATCTCGGGCATGAGCCACCAGCACCCAGCTTCCAAAAAAACCCCAAAAGACTCTTGTTCCCCAAGCTCATCCTCTCCTGCAAAACTGTTATGGCTGTTTGCTTCCTGGTTAAGGAGCGACCTTATCACAAAGGCTGCAGCCTCCTAATCGAGATGCTTAGGATAATCTATAAAGTATTTCACTGTGTGCAGCTAGACTTATTAATGCAGACTTCCCGGTTTGTTTATTTAGCCCCAATGCTTTAAGCTAGCATAGTTCATCTTGTGTCACTGGTTCATGCTCTTGATTAAGTCTGGTGCTGGTGTTCAATACTCAGAACACTACCCACGGGGAAAACTTAATTGGCTCATACTCTGTAAGCGGAGGAACAGTAGTTCTGGTCAAGCTTATTCAGTCTGCAACAGCTATGTGAGACGGGGTGCTTGGGGCCTGGAGGAGGATGGGGGAGGTGGTCCTGGGTTATGCCCTGGGTGTTCTGGGTTCCTCTG